TTTCTTCTTCAGTTTGTTTTTTTTTTCCAGCCTGAAGATTTTGTATTTACAAAGATGCTTTCAGATAACAGTTGCATGGATTTAGGCCTCCTGCCGATACGCAAGTTCACCTTTTCCTGTCTTTTCTCAAAGGACGATTTCATTTCAGGGAGCTTGTTAGATTTTCCCTGGAGTGGGTCAGCTTCCTCTTCCACGTCGCTGTCAAAGGGCAAGGAGAAGGTCACTCTTTTTGAGAGGTCTTTGCTTTTTCCACATTCGATCTGTCTCGTTTCACCCAAGACCTCGGCTCTCCTATTCAACCACAGGGTAAAAAAATAAAAATTAAGATTCATTAGGCACGTATTTTTATTTACTACCTTCTTCATCCCACCTTTATTAATAACTCAAGGCAGTGAACATACCTAATACTCTTTCCTTCCTCCTATTTTAACAACAATCCTATGAGGTGCGTTGGGGTGAGACACAGTGATTGCCTCAAAATCACCTAGCTGGCTTTTATGCCTAAGGTGGGACTAGAACTCACCGTCCCTTAGTGATTGGTTCAGACACCCAACTGGCTTTCATGCCTAAGGCGGGATTAGAATTCACCGTTTCCTGGTGATTGGCCCAGAGTCACCCAGTTGGTTTTCATGCCTAAGGCGGGACTAGAACTCAAGTCTTCTGATTTCTAGATCAGCACCTGAGCCACCACACCAACTGGCTCTTACTGAATATATTTGTTACTGAAGTATCTACAAAATTTGCCCTATAGATGTATTAAGATTTCATCACCCCTGAGTAAAATAGTAGAATTGCGCCTTTAGATATCAGCCACATACTCGGGAGTACTCTCGGCACTGCTTTCTTCCTCTTCCTCTTCTTCCTCTTCTCCGCCTTCTCCACTCTGGCTATTTCGGTCCTCTTCATCCAGGGGACCGTTGCTCTCATCCACAGGATCAAAGTAATCTTGATATTTAAGATCGCGAGCACTTTTAATCGCCTGAGAGAGAAGAAAACAGAACTTGATGGTCAGTGAATATTTAACACACTGGAATGAGAATGACTAAAAGAAGTGTTCTCAAAATACGTGGAATCTGTCTGTAGAGTTTTGTCTTGGGATTTTCCAGGAAGAGTCCCTTTTGTTTCAAAGCATGCATGTAAACAAAGCAGAACTTTTTTTAAAAAATGCACAATTTGATAAATATTCTGTCTGCAGCAATGCTTTGTGGATTTCAATTCCCAGGATTCCCCAGTCAGCTATTCTAAGTTGATCTGGAGAATGATTTTGAAATCCACTTCTTTCCGAGGGCCTCAAAATAATGTCATTTTAAAGAAGAAACTAAATCTACCTTATAGAAATACGGTATTTTCTTTCAAGCGCTTACCTTCTTCTTCATTGTTCCAAATTCCTCCTCCTCCTCCTCATCTTCAGAGAGAATCTCTTCGAAATAATCTATTCCTTCGCTGTCACTACCTCTGTTTCCTTCTTTCTCCTCTGCCTCCAATGCGGCCTCCATCTCGGAGAGTTTGAAAAATCTGTCGTCCACCAGGGAGTCTGTCCCCATCTTTTTCCTAACGTTCTTTGACTTTTGGATTTGCTGCTCTAACTTATCGATATCAAAGTCCAGCTCAGAATCCTCATCGCTGAAAAAACCAGTTTTGGAGGCTTCTAAATTGCTTCTCTTTTGGTCAAGCTCCTCCTCCTCTTCTTCTTCGCTGTGACCACTGCTGCAGCTGGATTCCTTTTCTGCCTGGTCCTCCAAATCCATCTCCTCCTCGCCATCTTCTGCCTCCTCCTCCATGTCTGGGAGAAGGGAAAGCACCCCCTTTCCCTCATCCTCCACGTTTCTAGCAACCGCTTTCTTCAAGGACCCCAGGACGGCATGGTTCTGGAGCTCCAGTTGTTGCCAGATCTGTTCCTCATCGAAGTTCTCCACCACCAGCTCTTCTAAAGGGCTTCCAGCCACGGCTTCTCCTCGGCGGGTGTGGTGGAAATCGTACAGCGCTTTGGTCAAGGCGACGAAGTCAGCAGCAAGGCCATCCTGGACACTGGAAAGCAAAGAGGTTACAGGCTACTCGCCAAATGAGAGTCATCCCTTCTTTAAACCTGGTTGACCTCCATATCCTCATTTCATGACACAGGTTAACTTTTATCTTTATTTTTTAGATGTTCTATTGGTTTAGATGTTTTATTTAGATGCTTTATTGATGTTTTATGGTAGTTTCTTAGTTGTGAGCCACCTAAAGTCTTTGAGAATCAGGTGGCATACAAGTTTAATAAATCATCATCATGTTTTATGAATTTTGTTGTAATTTCTTTGATTGCTGTGAGTCCCAGAGTCACTGAAAACTGGACAGCAAACAAGTTTAATAAACCATTATCATTTGTTTTATTGATTTTATTGTAGTTTGTTGCAAGCCACCCAAAGTAGTTGAGAGTGGTGACATACAAGTTTAATAAGTCACCACTATGATGACATTTTATCGATTTTATTGTGATTTCTTTGTTGTAAGCTGCTCAGAGCCACTGAGAGTTTGCTAGCATAAACCATTATTATTACTATTGAATGTTTTCTTGATTGTACTGCAATGTATTTGCTGTGAGCCATTCAGACACCAAGAATTGGACAGCAAACAAGCTTAATAAATCACCATATTACTATTATTTTATTGCAAACCAGGTTCCCGGGATACAAAACCAGCAGGGGTTTTGGGATTGAGACCAACAACCTTCCCTGGAATCCCCGGGAAAAAGCACCCCTCCTTCCCCAACTGGGCACCCTCTGGGCTGCACCTGACGGATTTCTACCTGGCAGCCAAAGGGCTCGGCTACAGCAAAGAGGGGACTCGGGTGTTTGGCCAGAGAAGGCTCTTCTCACACAGACCCGGCCATTCCCAAGCCAACGCCACTGTCCTCCAAGAGACTTCCTGCCTGCTTTGCAGGGAGGCTGGGAGCCATGGGAATTAATAATAATAATAATAATAATAGTAGTAGTAGTAATAGTAATAATAACAACTTTATTGTCACTTTGAATGTACACCAATCGGCATACATCAAAATGAAATTTCATTGCATACAGCTCTCAAAGGGTCATCACCTCCGATATACACTCCTTGTTCATGACCAGCTCAAGTTTCAGATCATCCATTTTAGTCTCTAGGGAGTGAATGATGGCAAACAGGACAGATGGAAGTGGAGCTCTATATGGATTAGCCCTCAAATTAGCTTATATTTCTGCATGACAATCTCGCCTCATTTCCTTTTTCTGATCCTGACTGTTCCACCTTTTCCTTAAAGAGGCCTTGCTTCTTTTTGCTCCTGGAGCATGCCACCACCACTAACTCCTCCAAAAGCCTCTGATAAATATGCATCAATATGATAAATCTTCCAATAAATGAATGAATGAATGACTATATATATAAATAAATATAGGGAAATGGCTAGCCAGGAAAGACAGGTTGAATTGGGGAATAGGAAGATAAGCTGAATAAGATAAGAGGAAAGGCACACTGAATTGAAAAGCAGGAAAAGAACTTATTGTTTAAAATGGGGACATAAATATCTATTGAGTTTAAAATAACCACTTAAATGTCTATTTTTTCTTATTCTTATTATATATGCGAATATGATTTAATATGTTATCAGGAAATGTGTATAGGCGGTCAGAAAGAGTGTAACCTCATAGTAGCCCAGCCAATGGGGAAAGAGAAGGGATGTAGCGGCCAGTGACAGGGATGAATAAAAGAAGGAGATATTTTGGGTTAAAACTTTGGAGAGAACCAAGCTTTGATAGCTTCTCTCCCCGCTTATTGCAATAAACGAAACAAAAGGCCTTCACTGTGTCTTGGCTGGTTATTGGTCAGGCGAGCTTGCCTCTGGTCACAAAGGAAAGTGGCCAGGAGCACATAACCCCTCTCTCTCTTCCTCTGGGCCTGCCGACAGCCTCATCCAGTTCCTTCGCTCCCTAAGCCCTGGGACCTCTCCTCCTCTGCCGTCTTTGGAAACAGCCCTGATTTGCAATAGGATCCGTCGCTGGGCCAGCAGTCAGATCGTGCTGCTGGCAGAACAATTTCAAACAGCGCCAACGACTTTGTTGTAGTGCAGTGTTTCCCAAACTTGACAATTTTAAGGCATGAGGACTTCAACTCCCAGAATTCCACAGCCAGCAACGCTGGCTGTGGAATTCTGGGAGTTGAAGTCCACATGCCTTAAAATTGTCAAGTTTGGGAAACACTGTTGTAGTGCAACACTTCGGAAGGGGCCGATCCACCCGCCCGAACCCGCCTTTCGGCGCATCTCTACCTGAGGAACTGCTGGGGGCGACCCGCGGCGGCGCCCAGAAGCTCCAAACACGTGTCCAGCCGCTGCCGTGGAGACGGGAGCGCAGCGAGGTCCGCCATGCTTCTCCGGCGTCCCCTCCGCGCGTCCGTCCCCCAAACGGCTCCGCCCGGCAACGCGCGCTCCGCGGAGGAAGGTTCCGCCGGGAAAAAAAGATCCGGAGGGGGCTCTGCTCTACCAGCGCAGCTCCCGAACCCTTTTCGGGGGCGGGGGGAGAGACTCCAGCAGCTTTTCTCGCGCTGCTCTCCCCTCGCTCCCTGCCTATATATCTCTTTGCTGCTTTCTCTCCCTTATATCCTCCCAACAGCCCTGCAAGGTGGGTCGGCCATCTATTGCAAGGCTGAGGGAGAATTTGCACCGGGTGGGCCTGCACAGATGCCCTGCAAAGGCGGGTCCTTTGGGGCAGGTGGCATCGTCGGAGCGCCTTCAGCTTTTGGAAAAAGGAAATCCTGATTTGTAACAGACCCCCCCAAGAATTCCTCTCCCGCTGATCGGAAGGAACCCGGCCGACAATAAATATTGCATTCCCTGCCTTGCATTCTCTCTCTCTCTCTCTCTCTCTCTCTCTCTCTCTCTCTCTCTCTCTCTCTCTCTCTCTCTCTTTTTAAAGTTATTTACGTGAAAAGGTAGTAGCCGTTTGGGGGAAAACCCTTGAAAGAGGGTGGCGCTAGGACCCAGCGGCCTCCTTTCGCCCTTGCAAGCTTTTTGACCCCGCGGGGACGCAGTTGCCCGTTCCTCTGTGGCTTCACTGCGCCTAAAGGCGAAGAAGCCAAGCCTTGCCGTGCCAGGTGTAAAGATGGTCGCCCTTAAGGGTAAACTGGTGGCAGGTATGTGCTGGGAAGCTGGGGGAAGAAACGGGGCTGAGACAGGGGGAGGCGCTTTTCGCATGAGGCCCCCTTGCAACCTTCCTGGATAGGACTTTTTGCACACTTTGCATGCTTGCATTGGTGCAACTATCCTCCCATCTGCTGCTTTGTGAAATTAGGCGTTGCAATAGCTGGAGTCAGCTGCTGCAATGCTCTTTCCCTGGAGCTGTGCTTTGAAGCGTGCAAGGCGGGGGAGCAATTCCTTCCCGTGTCTGGAATGCATTCTAGGGGTAGGCTGCTCCTGTACATGGAGCCTCTTTATATACTTGGCTGCTTTGGGAAGATCGCAAGTTGCAGTGGGGAGAAAACAGCCCATTGGGGTGTCTGTGGGGTAGGCAGTCCTGTAGTAGCTTTTCAAAGAGAGCTTCATTTTGTACTCCTGAATTGCATGAACTAGACTTGCTAGAAGAGCACTTTTCTCAATGTTAGCCTATGGACTTCAACTCCCAGAATTCTCCACTCAGCATGCTGGCTGGAGAATTCTGGGGGTTGAAATCTGCACATTGTAAAGTTCCCAGATTTGCAAAACACTGCCCTAAATTCTTGGATATGATAGATGGACAAAAAGCCAAAGGCAGTCTAAACAGTTGACTGTGCAACTGACTAATAACAACAATATAATAATAAATAATAATTGCAAAAGACAGCTTTGCTTGGAACAGCTGTGAAGATACCGTTAACACCATCACACAAGAACATCTGCCTCTCCCAAGTTCTTGGAAAGGCTCAATAGGTGGATAAAATGCCAAATCCAGTCTCAACATCTGGCTGACTGTGCAACCAACCATAATAATAATATCTAACATTTAGGACAGTAGGAAACTTCCACAACTGAATTTTTATTGCATTGCACAATTATTTTGTCACAGTGACCTTTCCAATAATCCAGCCAACAATAAACTGCTTGTCACATTTGTTTACGAATTGTGGCAGCTCCAACTGGCACACCTTTAGTTTCCCCCCCCACCCACACACACACACCTCCCTGCAGTGCAAGCCACTTGCCCCTCAATCCTGCCTACAGCTAAGTTGGCAACTAGTTCAAAATTTGAACAACAGCAACCTGGTTTCTTTCAGGTCGGTCTAAAAAAGACAGCAGGAACCAGCTGCTTCTGCAGCCAAGAACATGGTACCTACCCCAGCCTTAATGTAGGGTGGAAAAGGGGATTAGTTTATTCATATTTGCAGTTTAACACATTTTTGAATGTGAAACATCAGGCATTTTGCAGCGTGCTTAACAGCTGGGGAAAGAAATGCTAAAAGATTTCTCCTGTGAAAAACTATAAACATTGTATAGGACATTTTGGGGATGTCAGGCACCGGCACACAATCCACACTTTGCAGAAGGAATTCTGAAAAGTTTGATATTTGGCTGTTGAAAGTGTAACTTTGTGTGTCTGTAAGCCTCACTTAGCAACAGAAATTTTGGGCTCAATTGTCGTAAGTTGAGGACTACTTGTACTTTCAAACACTTCTCTCATCTTAATGCAGCCTTTTCAGCTAGACCAGCATCGTCCTGGTCCATTTTCCAGATAAGAAAACTGAGGAGAGGAAAAGCATGAACCGCTATTGAGGAAGGATAAATTTGAACCTGATTTTTAGCTCCATTTTTTCATATTATTATTTTTTCCTTGGGAGTAAGTCCCATTGAATCTCCTTCTGAATAGACTCATAAGATTGCACAGTATAATGGACTTTTCTGCATCAAACCCTTTCAACATCGTTCCTAAAAGAAGGGGGGGGGACTCCAGGATAAATTATTTGCACTTGTAAAGCACTCTGGGGTTTTTTAAAAAAATGTTACAGGAATATTTTAAATAATAAACACGTTGGGCATAGTAGGGAATGTAAAGTGGGCTCCATAAGGGTAATTAATAATAAATGAATAATTCTTTTCAAGACAATAGCAGAAGGTGAAAAGGAACCGTTTGTAGAGGCAGACCTATTAGGGAAACCCCACGTGGATTTTTAGCCCCAAGGAAATGGAAAAGCAAGGCTTTAAAGGGCAAAACAGACTGTCAGCACATTTTTCTTGAGGATAAAAATTATTTTGCTGACAAAAATCATGCTTTGTAGCCACCCTGGAAGAAAAATCTTGAAGGGGCTCTGTATTTGCAAAGATTGTCTTCAGAGCTAACATTTCAGCCCAAGAATTGAGCAGTGTTTCTTTCAACCTTGACAACGTTAAGATGGGTGGACTTCATCTCCCAGAATTCCCATGCTGGCTTGGGAATTCTGGGAGTTGATGTCCACCCATCATAAAGTTGCAAAAGTCGAGAAACCCTATTCTAGAGTGTGCAATTCAACTGAAGCCACCCTAATTTTCAGACCAGGAGAAGGAGCGAAGATTGCAGAACATACCAGGAAAATATGGGGTCCTCCTTCTCGTCCCTATCTGGAATGCTGCTCACCTGCAGGTCTGCTCTTCCTTCTTACCATCCTTCACACCTGCAGGGCTCCACCTGGTACCCTGCAGAAGGGAAGCATCACAGCACCCAGGCTTTCCAGCGATTACCCGACCCATCTGGGCCTGGCTGATGCTGGAGACATGCTTTTCTTTTCGTCCCAGGTCTTTTCACGCGCCTGTGCTGGAGATCTCCGATGGCAAGAGGGTCGTCAGACCAGGCGGTTCCCCAAGCTTTGTGGAGGTTGGGGAAGCTCAACCACGTGGCCATCGCCGTACCCGACCTGGAAAAAGCCACCGCTCTGTATAGGGACGTGCTACAAGCCCGAGTGAGTGAGGTCGTTCCCCTCCGGGACCACGGGGTCTACACTGTCTTTGTGGAGCTGGGGAACACGAAACTGGAGCTTCTGCACCCCCTGGGAGAAAAGAGCCCCATCACAGGTTTCCTGCAAAAAAATAAGGCCGGGGGAATGCATCATATCTGCCTGGAGGTATTTTCTGCTTTTGTTCCAAGCCAAAGAGATTCTTCTGAACAAAATCTGCTTTAGAAAGGCGGGTAGTCCCCAAATTACAACAGTTCATTTAGTAACCACTCAAAGTGACAACGGCACTGAAAAAAGTCACATGACTGTTTTTCACACGACCGTTTGCAGCGTCCTCCTAGTCCTGTGTTCAAAATTCAGCCGCTTGTCAGCTGACTAATATTTATGACCATTGCAGTGTCCTGCGGTCACATGATCCCCTTTTGCGACCTTCTACCAGGCAAAGTGAATGAGGGAAGCCAGAGTCACTTAACAATCGGGTTACTAATTTAACAACCGCAGCGATTTGTTTAACAAATTGTGGCAAGGAAGGTCGTAAAATGGGGCAAAACTCACTTAACAACTGTCTCCTTTAGCCACAGAATTTGGGGGCTCAATTGTCATAAGCTGAGGACTACCTGTAGGCCCTTAAATGAAGGGATCAGGGGGCTTGCGAATCCTAAAAATTGACTTTGCATTTCTTTAATTTGCTTTTAAGGCACAGAGGAGGTGGGGGGAAAAGGGGTACAGGGTTCCAAATAGCACTGAACTATCTTTCCAAGCCTCTTTCCCCAATAGCCTTGCGTGTTGAGAGTTGCATTTGAGGAACATCTGGGGCCCCAGAGGTTTTCTGTTCTTGTTTTTTAGAAGTCACCCCTCTATTTCTCACAAATAACTCTTCAAATGACCCTCCAGGTGGACAATATCACCAACGCCATTGAAGAGCTGAAGAGGAAAAAGATCCGTGTTCTGAGTGACACACCCCAAATCGGTGCCCACGGAAAGCCGGTGGTTTTCCTCCACCCCAAAGACTGCGACGGGGTGCTGGTAGAGCTGGAACAAGCCTAGTTCTCTGGAAAAGAGGTGTGTGTCCATCACACGTTTTGCGGCAACCAAGCTCCCCTTAGCCTCCTAGGAGAGACTTTGCACCTCTCTCTCCTTTGTGGCACGTATCGGGATGCAGTGGGGCTCCCAAAATTCCAGGGCCCCCATTTTGAAGGGGCAGGGGCAGGATGGCCAGCGGCAGTTTCCACTGAGAGATCCCATTCAGATTTCGGGGAATGCACCCCAATAAACACATGGTGTAACCGGAAATATGGAAGCAGAACTTCACATATAGAACCACAAATTTACAATTAAAAACCAAGGAGAAAAGAGTGGGTGTTTTTGAGAGTTTGAGCCAACTTAGCAACACGATACTTTCTTTAGGGCAATGTTTTTCAACCCTGGCAACTTTAAGATGGGTGGACTTCAACTCCCAGAATTCCCCAGTCAGGTAAAGTTGCCAAGATTGAGAAACATTGCTTTTAATGCCTGCATTTCTGTTCCTTGGGGTATATATTTCCTTAATCAGCTGGGTGCTCATTAAGATTTTTGTTTTTCCTCTAACCATTGCAAGTCCTGGGTCTTATTTTCAATCCATTTGAAAGAAACCGATCTGAAAATCTCCATTCGCAAGTAAGAAAGCAGGAGACGGATGGAGAGTCACAGATGCTTTCCTTCATAATTGCTCTGGTATTCCCTTAAGAAAACAAGAAGCTTTTGCTTTTCGTATTCTGAAGCATCACTTAATAATGAGACGATTGTTGTTACCGTGTGAGCAATGTTGCCCTCCTGGAACAGTTGCTGTCGGGCAGTCTATTCTCTGTGGTTGCCTTTTTGGTATGCTTGCAAAAATGTGGCTATCGAGAGAAAACAGAGTCTTTAAATCTTAAAAAAATAATTCAGCTGTTAGCCCTAAAAGAATTATTTCTTGTTATTAGAGCTCCCCATAATTTCCAATCCTTTGAATAAGCAATGAGCAATTAAAAGACAGATTTGTTTAACCAGTTAAGAAAAATGTGTGGCTGCATCAAAATGGGGTCTTGGATTTTCTTGTAGTAATTGAAAACACAGCCCTCTGTCTCCCTATTCAGAATTTTACTTATTTATTTACTGTACGGCATATCATACATGGACTAGCAGTATGTATTAACATTTCATCCACATTAGTAAAACACATCAAAATATAAATGTTAAAAAGATTTATGTTCCAATACCAATATCTAGGCCATCTAACCATTAAAACACAGCATCACTTATATGAAAAAAAAAGTTGGATCCTGGACCAGTATCTGCCCTCAGCCTCCATGATGTGATCTCTGCTTTGCCCTCTATCTGCTACCGACTTACGTCAGTAGGAAATTACGGATGATTACTACAGGCTACAATCACATTTCTTAACATGGCTAAACCAACTGCGAGGACTAAAGGTGCAAAAAGCGAATATTGTCGTGGTAGGCCCTAAGTAGAAAGAGTGAAAAGAGTGCTAAGAGCAAGACAAATATGGGTAGTCCTCCATTTACAACATTTAGTGACCATTCAAAGTTACAACAGCACCGAAAAAAATGACTGTTTTTCACTTTACAACACAACCGTTGCAGCATCCCCCCTGGCAACTGTCTCATATTTATGACGGTCACGTGATCCCCTTTTGCGACCTGATAAGCAAAGTCAAGGGGGGGGGAGCCAGATTCACTTAACAGCCGTGTGACTAACTTGCTAAGTGATTTGCTTAGCAATTGTGCCAAGAAAGTTCATCAAATGGAGCCAAATTCACTTAACAAAAGTTTCACTTAGCAACCAAAATGTTGGCCGTAAGTCAAGAACCACCTGTAGGTTTTTAAGGAAGAGAAGTTGCACTAAGCTAGAGTCCTCTGGGTTTATTCATCTTAAACGTGGACAAAGCGTCACACGTATCTGGGAATTTCTTTCATGTTCTGCCAGACCTTTGAGACTGCAGCAAGGATTTTTGCTGCGTAACTGACAGGGGGTCATCCCGATTTCCTTGCTGAGCAGCTGAATCTGACTTCAGCAGCCAGTCTTGGGAGCAGAAATTCAGCTTCTGGGGAAGAACAGATGGGGTGGCTGCAATGCACCACCGTCTTGCTTTGTACAGAAGAATTTTCCCTTGGGGCCTATCCCAGTGGTGGCAAACCTTTTAGAGACCGTGCCCAAACTGCAACCCAAAACCCACTTATGCATCGTCGGGTGCTGGGTGGGTGTGGCCCATTGGGTGGCTGTGGCTGTGGTGGTAACGGCAGACTGGGTGAGACTAAAAAGTTCAATCCATCAATTCCAACTTTGCAAGGTCTTTTTTTTCCCCACGAGAAGTTGAAATTGACTGATTGATTGGACCTTTTTTTTTTGCACATGGTGGTGGAGGCCTAAAGGCCTTATAAAACCCAGCTGAAGGCCTAGGACTGGGGTAACGCCGTGCATGCTCACAGAGAGGGCTCTGAGTGCCACCTCTGGCACCCATGCCATAGGTTCGCCACCACTGGCCTATCCTTTCTCTTCCAGTTACAGGCAGTCCTTGATTCACAGCCATTTGTTTAACAATAATAATAATAAAGTTGGAAGGGTCCTTGGAGGTCATCTAGTCCAACCCCCTGCTCAGGCAGGAAACCCTATACAATTTCAGACAAATGGCTATCCAGTCTGTTCTTAAAAACCTCCAGTGTTGGAGCATTCACTGCTTCTGGAGGCAGGTTGTGCCACTGGTTAATTGTTTTAACTGTCAGAAAGTTTCTTTTTAGTTCTAGGTTGCTTCTCTCCTTGATGAGTTTCCATCCATTCCTTCTTGTCCTGCCTTCTGGGGCTTTGGAGAATAGCTTGACTCCCTCTTCTTTAGGGCAACCCCTGAGATATTGGAAGTCTGCTCTCATGTCCCCCCTGGTCCTCTTCATTAAACTAGGCATACCCAATTCCAGCAACCGTTCCTTATATGTTTTAGCCTCCAGTCCCCCGATCATCTTTGTTGCTCTTCTCTGCACTCTTTCTAGAGTCTCAACATCTTTTTTACATCGTGGTGACCAAAACTGGATGCAGTATTCCAAGTGTAGCCTTACCAAGGCATTGTAAAGTGGTATTAATACTTCACGTGATCTTGATTCTGTCCCTCTGTTAATGCAGCCTAGGACTGTGTTGGCTTTTTTGGCAGCTGCAGCACACAACTGGCTCGTATCTAAATGATAGTCCACTAGGACTCCGAGATTCTCTCACAGTTTAGTGACCGAAGTTACAACAGCATTGGAAAAAGTGATTTATAATAGGTCCTTGCCCTTAACAACTGTTGCAGCATCCCCAGGGTGACGTGATCAAAATTTGGATGCTTGGCACCTGGGATATGTAGTATTTATAATGTAGTATTTGGGGTGATGTGGTTATCATTTGTGTTTTTCCCAGCCAGCTTCCAACAAGCAAGGTCAATGGGGAGTCCAGATCCATTTAATGACTGCTTGATTCGCTTAACAGAAAATCAGGTGTGGCTCCTTTAACAACTGCGATGATTAGCAACGGAAAGTCCAGTGGCAATTATGATCGTAAGTTGAGGACTTCTCTAGTTGCTTCAAGGCCAGAAAGACTTTGAACTTTGCAATCTGGGAGACCCAGGATATTTTAACCTTGTTTGCCTGCAGTGATATGCAGCTTTCTTTTTATGCTAACACTTCCTGCAAAAAATGGAAATTTAAGCAAATTTGATGGCGTGCTTTCCGTTTGTACAACCCAGTAAGTGTCTTGAGTGAGCTGTGAGTCAGATATAATTAGCCATCGGATGACACCAAAAGCTTTTATCTCGATTTGGGAAACTGGACTGTAATTTAACATCGGCTGATCCTCACTTACAGGTGGCACCTTTTTCATTTCTGCAGTTTTATGGAGAACACCTTTCTAAGAAAAGAAAAAAAGCAAAGAAATATAAATATTAATGTTCCTGGATTTCAGCTGCATGCACCCTTCAGGATCATGTCCTGCAATTTATTTCTAAATATTGGGGGGGGAGGGTTGAAGCTTAATATTCAGAAATTTAAACTTTTTCCTTTTAAACCTTTCACATGGAATGAAAACAATCAAGTGACATCTCCTGAAACAAAAGGCATTGGCCAATCAGAGGGAAAAACAGTAGACCCTCCCTGAATCTCTCTGCCAAATAACCTTCCACGGGCTCTCTGCTTTTTTAACGAGCCATCACACTTATGGCAAAAGATTCCATCCCTTCCTGTGGCTTGATACCTTTCCTTAAAGGAAGCATAAAACTCCTCCTTTATGATACCTCCCCCTTAATTAAGAGCACATTAAATGTGCACAGTTTGTGGAATATTTTTTCTGAAGGAAGGAAGGAAAGAAGAAAGGAGAGAGAGAGAGAGAGAGAGAGAGAGAGATGAAGGAAACATACTTTTTGCCACGAATTTACTTTCTGAAAAACTGAATAAGCCACGGTCTTTCATGGTCTAACCCAGTGTTTCTCAACTTTGGCAGTTGAAGATGTGTGTCACTTTCCCAGTTACGAACCATGCAGATCAGAGATTTATTTATCAGCCATGAATTCCACTGGGCTTTCCAGATAACACCACCAATCTTGGTCCAGGTCCTTTTGTTTCCACCAGATGCTCACAACTGTGCCTATTTTCAGATACCCAGACCTGGTAAATGTTTTTGAATGAGATATACAGGCTGTCCTCCACTTAACGATCACAACCTTGTTGTTGAGCAAGACAATTGTTAAGTGAGTTTTGCTCCATTTTACGACCTTCCTTGCCATAAGTGAACCACTGCAGGGGTTAAGTTAGCAACCCGGTTGTTAAGTGAATCTGGCTAACTGCATTGACTTTGCTTGTCATAAAGTCTCAAAAGGGGATCACATGAGCCCCGGGACACTGCAGCGGCCATAAATACACGCCGATTGGCAAGCATGTCCGAATTTTGAACACGTGATCGTGGGGATGTGGCAATGGGCATGTGGAAAGCGGTCATAAGAGTCCATTTTTTCAGTGCCATTGTGATTTTGAATGGCCACTAAATGAATGGCTGTAAATTAAGGATTACTTCTGCAGTATTTATTTAGACCAGGGGTCTCCAAACTTATCTACTTTAAGACTTGTGGACTTCAACTCCCAGAATTCCCCAGCCAGCCATGCTGGCTGGGGAATTCTGGGAGTTGAAGTCCACAAGTCTTAAAGTGGACAAGTTTGGGGACCTCTGATTTAGACTGTTTGCAAGACAGTAAGGTGACCCAAGTCACAGAGAGCAGAATTTTTGTGGCTTCCCGTGTCATGTACGCCTAGGATGTTTGCAAGCACCCACAAAGGCATTTGTTACACATGTGACTAAACCATTGATGACAAAAGCATGTTATTTTTAGGCAGAAGGACAGGACCTACAGTACCTTGCTTGTCAGTCGCTTGAGGAGAGCAATGCATTAAATAATTCAGCCCAGCATGGAAAAATCATCTCTATGGCAGCAAGGAGCATTTTGGTTCAACAGCCTGATTTATGAAAACATCAGGATGTGCAACTGACACACACACACACACACACACACACACACACACACACACACCTTGGGCAGAGGTTCGGCTGGTTGATCAAACCTAATTTTTAAACTTTGTAAGAGCCCCTTAATTAAACCATCATCATCTTTGAAATGCAGAAAGGACTTGCTGGTGGTCTGGCTCCTCAACTGGAGTCCCCCGTTTTATAAGTCAGAGGAATTGAAAAACAGGACAATTCTCCAGAAGTCCTTAACGGCCATTTCCACTGTAGGAATTAAACTTGGGGCATGAATTTAAATTTGGGCCAAAGGGTTGAGGTCTAAGATGTTCTTCAAACTTGGTAACTATAAGAATTGTGGACCTCAGCCCACAGAGTTCCCCAGCCAGGGTGTGGACTTCAGCTCCCAGAATTCCCCAGCCAGTTCTGGGAATTGAAGTCCACACATCTTGAAAGTTGCCAAGCTTAAAAAAAAAAAAAAAAACCCACTGATTTTTAGATTCGATCCCCATCCTGGCTGTGCCTCTTAGGATTTGTAGTCCAACTAAATCTGGAGAGGTGGCTTCCCTGCCCAAGAGGGGGAGGGTCACCAGGGTGACCCGAGAGAGGGGCTGCTCCGAGCACCCCGAAGGAGCCTCGTTCGAGGCCTCCCCAGGGCGGAATGAAGGGGACCCCAGGCAGCTGAGGAGGAGGAAGCTAGCTGGCAGCTCAGCACCTCGGAAAGCAGGGAGTTGTTTCCTTCGGCCCCCCTCCTTTAGCCTTGCAACCCCTTCGCTGGCAGGCTTCGGCTGCGAGCCCCTCCGCTCGGCTCTTGGGGGGGAGCCTCCCCCTCCAGGGAGGGAGCCCCCCATGCCAAGGCAATCTACCGTGGCGTCCCTCCCCCTCCGCGCGACAGCCGAGGACCGCCCTCCCTCCGCTGCCAATCGTGAGGCCACCAGGCACCCCCCCCCAGTCCATCAGCCCCCCCCCAAACTGGCAGCCCTCCCGGCAGCGCCGAGCGAGCCATGCAGGTTCCCGGGCGCGCGGGGCGCTCGCTTGGCGCACTCAGCTTCCCGGGCTAATTAGCCGTGGCGGTGCGCGGAGCCGCCGCACAAAGAGCGGGGGTGTCTCTGCTGCCGCTCCGCCTTGCCCCCCCCCCACTCCACCCGCCGCCTGCGAGGGAGCCGCTCCGAGATCGCGCCCGGCCAGGTAAGCCCGATGGGGATGGCCAGACAAAGCCCCGGGCATCGCAGGGGGGGGGGGCAGGGAGGTGGAGGGGGGGGCTGGGGCCGGTGCAGAGCCCCCCCTCCCTAGCTCCTCGACGCCCCTCCCTGTAGCTCCCCAGAGAGAGCGAAAGAGAACGAGAGGTGGGGGGCGCGTCAGGAGCGGTCGGGGGTTGCAAATGAGGCTGGGGTCTTTCGCCTTGCCTTTTGCAAGCGGGGGTGGGTGCGGGTTCAGAGACTTGGGGTCTTGCTCCGTCCCCCCTGCCCCGCCTGCCGCATCAAAGGGCCCCCTAGCCAAGCCGTGCGGGCAGTCCTCTCCCCCCCCCACCCCGATGCCGGAAGACCCCCCCACCCCCAACAACTTCTGGTACATGGAGGCTGGGAGGAGGCGGGTCGCATCTCAGCCGCCGGCGCTCGAGGCCCTTCTGCAGCCCCACTTACTCGCTGCGGGGGGGGGGGCGAGAGAGCCATCTCGGGCAGCCCCTCCTGCCCTGGCAGCTCGGCGAAGGGGGACCCCCAGAGATTCCCAGCAGGAAGAGCCGAGGGTCCCCAGAGGTTGTAAGTGCAACCGGTGGGCACTTTGCAGAGATCTTGAGGTGGGGAGGGGGGGTCTGCAGCCTTAACCTATCTTCCCCCCCCCCGCTTCCCGGCTCTTTGGGAGAACAATGCAGCCCGTGAAAACCCGGGGGGGGGGCGAACGCACCTTTCCTCTGGCTTTTCCTGCCCTGCAAGAAGGCTGAGCGCCTCGGGGTGAGGAGGGGGCTCCTTGCCTTGGCTTGGTGGTCGGATTCCCTGGCTCGGAGGCTGGGCCGGGGGGGGGGGACGAGGGGGGGGCGGAGGGACAGCTGCTTTGCCAAGCAGTCTGGAGGCCGAGCGCGATTTTCTCTGCCTGGCACCGGGCGGGCATCGCTTCCTTGCCCGCTATTGTGGCATTGCCGGGCGGGAGCGAGAAGGCGAGGCTGGCAAGGAGAGCTGGAGAGGCTGGCCGTTGCTGCAGGCTACTCAGCCCTCGGAAAGAGGGGGGGGAGGGGAAAAGGGGGTCTCTGCTCCTCTTTCTTCCTCCCATCACCGCAGTCTCCTTGTTTTTTTCAAGTTTGACCTGTCCTGGCAGTCATTCCTGCTGCGCCGGGCTCTGGCGGGGGTTTTCTTGCACGTTCTGCTAGCTTTGGGCTGTGGGGGCGGGGGGGGGCAGAGAGATTGCTGGTAGCATGAGGATCTGTGGGATGCAGATCTTCAGATGCTTGGAGCTGGGGGAGCAACCTAGGAGCCCCCCCTCTCTCCATCTCTCTCTCCCTCTGTCACTCCCTCCCCCCCTTCTCCGCCTGAGAGAGAGGCCCTAGAGGCATAGGTGCACCCTGGTGTAACTTCAAACCTGCATGTCCACAAGGAAAGGTTGGGCCGTCCTTCCACCTGTTTTCCAACCTTCTCGGGGTTGGTGAAGGGGGGAGGTCGTTATTTCTCATCTTCTGCAGAGGCTTTTAAAAAGGGGGTTAAAAGGGCGGAGGGGGACACATTTGTTTTGCTATGGACGAAGATAAAAGTGAAAAACGGGGATCCTTCTCTCTTTCATCTCCCCCTTTTTCCCCGTTCTCCCAAGTTTTGCCTGTCTCCACCCAGCCAGCCAGCCCTCCTCCTTCAAACCCTGCCTCCAAAAGCAGAGCGCAGGCCTTTGGGTCGAGTTCTGTCGTAATGAGGTCTGTAGGGAAGAAGGCTCAATTAAAAATTCTCCACTTCATTTTTCATGGGGTAAACAGTGTGACAAATTATAACCTGAATGTTCTCCTTCTCCCTCTTTCCCCCCCCCACCTTTTCCCACTAAGTGGGTTCTGACTGGATGCTTCTCCCCAATCTGGGCCAGGGGTGGGGGATTGATTCCCCTCCCCGGTTCTGCACTTAATGCTAAATTGAGAAAAACAGCAGGAAAGCTTAAATGGCTGGCAAAAACGTGCTGTGCGCTTATAAATTTATTTCACTTTAGTGTTTTAGAGCCTCTGGCATTTGTAACTTGGAAATCCTGCTGCTTGCATTTGTGTACTGAGGGGACAGGGTGCTGCTTGCATTATAATCCTTGTATTGCTATATGCATGTCTTTTGCATCCAAATACATGCACAACTTGAGATGGGACGCTTGGCACAGCCAGCTCCCAAATCCAGCTATTCCACAATGGTTAGATCAATTTTTCAACAGCTCCATCTTGATGGCCTTGGGATGTGGCCTCTCACACACACCTCTGGCTGGATTTTGTAAGGCCTGCAAGATCAAATTGCAAACATTTTTTTTTTTTTAATTCAGAATGTGGTTAGCAACAAAGGGCCTTGCCAGGAAAATTGCACACCATTCGGATTTAATTCTATGCATATACAAGGCTTTAACCTGCCCAGAATTTCGTTTCTTTATGAAATGGGCAGCAAATAAATTTAATAAATAAGTTTATAAATTTATAAACAGGTAGTCCTCGACTTACAAAAGTTCTTTCTGTGACTGTTCAAAGTTTCAACACTGGAAAAAATGGCTTAACGACTGTTTTTCACCCTTGTGACCATTGCAGCCATCCCTGGGGTCACGTGATCAAAATTCAGCTGCTTGGCAACTGACTCATCTTTATGACCGTCGCTGTGTCCCAAAGTCATGTGATTCCCCTTTTGTGGCCTTCCAACATGCAAAGTCAAGGGGGAAGCCAGTTTAACAACCCTATTACTCACTTGACAACTACAGTGAGAAAGGTCATAAAAATGGGGCAAAATTCACATCAATGGTCTTCTTAGCAACAGAAATTTTGAGCTCACCTGTGGTCGTAAGGCGAAGACTACCTTTACTTACACCCAAAATCAACTTGCAGGCTATTACCTCTGATTAAAAATACCTTCACATCAAAAATTACGGTTATCCAGGAGGGTCAAAACTGACATTGGGTGTGTGGAGTGCAGCTGCTACCAGCTCTGTCATTCATACCAGCATCTTCACCCAGGGCTGTAAATAACTTGGTTGAGATTTCATCTCTAGCCTCCTTTGGGCCAGGTGTAAACTGTTGTTTCCCTTGCAAAGCCATTGTGTGAGCAAAAAGATGGAGGGTGTGTCTCCCTGAGCTTCATGGAAGACCGGTGGGATAAACAAGTTGCAGAATCTGACAGGCTGCTCCTGAAAACATCTTGCAATAGGGAAGAAATACTCTTGATGCATTACACAGGAGAAAGTGGAGTCGCTCCAGCAATCTGCTGGTTTGAGCATCGCTTGGTCCGATGGGATTCCATTCTTAATCCTGGGGCTTAAAGAGTCCCCTTCCCCACTTTTAAAGCGTTTCTTCTGCCAATAGTTGCATCAACATACGTTGATGACACCGCTAAAAAATATCATGTCTTAAGAGCTCTAAAGCAGGGTTGCTTAACTCTGGCCACTTTAAGAGGGGCGGACTTCAACTCCCAGAATTCCCTAGCCAGTTTGGGGAATTCTGGGAGTTGAAATCCGCCCCTCTTAAAGTGGCCACAGTTGAGAAACAGTGCCTTATAGAGACCTCCATGCAGCAGAAAACTCCTCTAGCACCTTCCAAGAACTGATGTACCTCTCTAAATTTAGAGAAAGGCTGATTTTGTGCAGTGCCAGGCAGCCAAGGAAGGGACCCTCATGGGCCTGCCCTCTTCCTTTCATTCTCCTCCACCCAGGCATTTGATCTGCCTGTGGGCCCAGAGATGCTCTCATGAAAGAAAGACAGCAAGCCAACGGGTGCGAGATGCTTTCTTTTCCATCTGCTTGCGCTGCCCAGCTCAAGCCGACTTTCCACGAGGCCTTCCGGGAAGCAAACAGGTTGTTTGCTTTCCGAGGTTCAGCCCCTTATCTACTTCTTGCTCAATTTCTGGAGCAATAAATGTCTCCTTTCCAATTAAGGTGTTGTTGTGATTAAGTAGTATTGTTCTGGGCTCGCAGACATGGCTGCGGTGAGGTTTGGCAATGCTCGGAGAAGCATTAGTGCAGATGCTCAGGGAGAGAGAAAAATGTGGTTGAAGTGCAGCTGAGCAGCCGATGGAAGGTACCCTTGATTGACAGGATCGAGGCGCAGGTGAAGAGAGGGGATTTGTCAATCAGAGGCGAGGGCGGGGCCATTGCTTGCTCAGTCAAGTTTCAAAGCATCACCTCAATACAGGTAGTGCTCAACTTAATGACGGCAATTGGGACCAGCATTTCCATTGCTAAGCAAAGCGGTTCTTAAGTGGGTGTGTTTCTGTTCTGTTTCCATTGTGGCTCTTAAGGAATCGCTGCAATTGTTAAGTAAATCCATCTTCTTCATTGCCTGTTGGAAGGTCGCAAATGGCGATCACGTAAGCCGGGATGCTACAAATACATGCCGGATCCAAGTGCCTGAATTTTGATCGTGTGATCTCAATGTCGTAAGCGTGAGGACTGGTCGTTAAGTCCTTTTGTTCAGCGCCTTTGTGATTTGGAATGAAAAGCTGTAAGTCAAGGACCATCTGTGTGGTTAAAGCATGGGGCTCTGTTTTCATTCCAGCCATCATCCGTTGTTTCACCTGGGGTCAAGGCTTGCCTGTCATTTTGGTGAAGAAGAATGCCCGGTCAAGTTTGCTGCTGAAAGATCAGAGGCCATCTGATTGACAGCCCAAAACAATCTGATTCGAATCTGCCCAGGGCCTTGAGCCTTTCCCTCCATATCATGCAACTGTCTGGTGTCCTCCAGAACAGAGGCCCCCAACCTTTTGGCCACCAGGGACCGTGCCCTAGAGAAAGGTTTTTCCATGGACCAGAGAGTGCGTGGTTTTGTGTGCTGCCTGCATCTCATGGATGGCTTTGCTTGTCTGCGCGGCTGCTGGCATGCTGCGGCCCGGTACCGGTCCACGGACTAGGGTTTGGGGACCCCTGCTCCAGAAGATCTGGAGAACCTGGAGACCCTCAAGGGTTCCAAGCTGGAGCAAAGCTGAAGCTGATTTGCGGTTGGGTGATGTGAAGTATGGCTAGTGGGGTTGGAGATATGCTTC